CGACGTATTGTTTTTGTACTACTAGTGCTTAGTGTATTTTTAGTTAATATTTTTCTTAACTCATATCTTAGATCTTATTACTGTTTTTCTTTTGCATTTTATACTTTTGTTGGATGTAACTGGGATCCTGTGTACACAATTTCGTTCCACCACATGTACCACATGTGCGAGAAGGTCCTGGGTTCAATCTCCAGTTGGACCTGGGGTCTTTCTGTGTGGAGTTTGCATGTTCTTCTCGTGCTTGCATGGGCTTTCGCCGAGTACTCTGGTTTCCTCATGTTAGGCTGCCTTCAGGCCCAGGCCTCCCCTGCAAAAGAGATCTGTGATCTCAATGGGATTCGACTGGTTAAATAAAGGTTAATAATGGTAAATGTAAATGGTAAATGGACTGTACTTATATAGCGCCTTTCTATCTAATCAAGATACTCAAAGCGCTTTACACTACAATCTGTGTCCTCGTTTACCCATTCATACAGCACTCAGATCTCTACAAAGCCAATTGAACAAATCATTCTAAAGAGACTAATCAGAGCTTTATCACATTCATACACCAATGGGATACACATTGGAGGCGATGAGGGGTTCAGTGTCTTGCCCATGGACACTTCGGCATGTGACTGCTGGTGGGTTCAAACCCCCAACTCTTGCATTGGAGGACGACTGCTTTAACCACTCAGCCACAGCCGCCCCAACAACAATGCAACTTTTCAGCTCTAATTAAATATGTAATTTAAACTGGATTTATTGTTGACCAGTTTAAATGGCACAAGGCGTTCTCTTAAAATCTAGTTCCCAGTTTTCTATTTGGAAACACGTCTTGCTAAAATATGTCCCAACCCTTAGAGTTCATCATTCTTCTGATACGTTCATCACCACCAGAGAGGCAGTGTAGCAGAGCTGCAGCTCGATGAATTCTTCTTTATTAGGTGGAGTGCACGTGTCCTTATGGGCTTTAGTTTGTTGCTTATAAACTATAATGCTTCTCATTTATTTTATTCATTGTGAACTTTAAACTAAAAAGACTGTACCATAAAAACGGATTTTGTCTAAAATCCCTATTCCCATTGGTGCTCCTTTGTAAGTCTGTATTGTTAAATTCTGCATTTTGAATTTAAAAAACTAAGCTCTGAGACTGTTTTATAAGACATGCAGACTGGTTTATTTAAGGTTTGGCAGGGTGACACTTTACTCTATTGCATTACTGTGACTTTTACATGAACCGCTGAGAACAAGTAAACCTTTACAGATAATTTAGGAAAACAAGCCCCTTGCTGTAAGTTGGAGGGCTTTGTCTCTTTTATCTCAAGGCATCTGGCTACATGCTGCATGAGCAGAAGTTATCTTAATGCAATGTCTTTGACTAGCGAACACGTTCGTTTTCCACAGCAGAATAAACGCATGTTTTTGTCACTTGGGTTCGAATGCACAGGTGAAATAATTTCTCAGTGAAATAAATAAATGTAAATACATTTGTTTAATTTAATATACACACTGACGTGAACATTTTTATTAGACTTTAAACACAGAAACAAAGCGGTAGTGAGAATATCAGGTTAGTCTGACTTTGTGATTAAGAGACAGCAAGACAGAAGTTTGTATCTCCAACCTGGCTGTGGCTGAGGAAGCTCATGTGTCCATACTTTGATCAGAGAAGATGGACTGTCCACACTCTCTCTGCTTTATTGGGATGCTTCAGAGATCCAGTGTAATTTCATTGGCAGAGCACAAGTGACCATAATACAAACCGCAGGCTTGATTTGAGTGCTCATAAGAGAAGTGACCGACACTCTATAGCCTGTACTCGGGAGTCTATAGTCTGTGTGTGTGCGTGTGTGAGATGGGAGAAGGATATTACATTATAGGTGGAGAGCTGAAGGTCTTATTTATCCAGCATCACTTTGCTGGCCTGCCTGTGTATGTATGTATGTGTGTGTGTGGAGGGGGGAGTATCAGGTTGCAAATTCTTGTGCTCCTTCCAGAACTCCTGTGTTAAACCTCCGAGCTGCACGTTCATCATCGCTGACTGAGCCTCAAAGCAACACGGACACTCCGCTGTCATCAGAGGTGGATTGTGCTTCTGTAACATGTGTATGAAACAACTCATCGCTCCGAGCGTCAAAGAATCTGGTTGTTTCTCTCTCTCTTTGTGTGCGTGTGCGTACGCATGCATCCGTATGTGTAAGCATCTTGTGTTTGTGAGTGCTTCAAGGCGTGAAGATACTGTCATCTGTGATGAATTAACTCAATTTAATCAATTTGATTTTCAAATATATTGAGCAGAAGACTCAGAGCAGCAGGCTTCAAATGTGTTTTAAGTGTGTGTGTGTGTGTGTGTGTGTGTGAACACTGTCCATATTACTCTAATTGGTCTTAATCAGCACAAGAAGGAGCACTTATTGACGTTTGAGTGAGCCAATGTTTTTTTAAGTGCAACCACTTCTTCTGGCTTTTAAAGAGATAATTTGTTGCTTTTAACAGAAACTAAATATAAACTCACCTTTTTTATTGTTCACTGCCGGAAGGAGGAGGGTGAGCATGTAACTGCTTGTGTCTGTGCATGTGTTTGTTAGCAAAACACTGCATGAGCTGCTGAATGAAACTCTCAGGTAGCCATCATTTGATTTACATCTACAACTGATTTGTTTTGGAGTCAATCTGATAGAAGATGGCCTCATACGCCACAGCTGATTGACAGTACCCAACACAAAAATGGCTTTAACTCAATACATTTTACAAACATTGAGCTAAAATTACATATGGAAGTAACCAAGAGTTGTTCACAACACATACTTGCAGTGTGGCATCTCACAGTATTGCATAACATTGTTCATAACGTTATTTTCAAAGTTAAAAACTACAACTGTCATTAACTGGCATGGATGGCAGAGGGTGATAGGGATTCTTTCAATGAATTATTATATTATTATTATAATACCGTTCAAGTAAACTATTAAATACTTTTACAGAACAATTTCAACTTTCCTGTAGAACTGTGTTGCGACTGCGTCCAAAAAAGAAGGAACTTTTTTAGAAAAATACAAGCAGTAGTATGCCCATGTCTGCCAACACTGAGGGATTTGATTAGTGAATGTTTGTAGTTTTTGAGATGAGTGTTTTTCTGGACTGGAAATGAACAGGGAATGCAAGTAAACCTTAATGTTTTGGTGCAAGATGTTCAAGTGGGTAGGAGTTACACTGAGTATAAGGAGAAAGGTTTTTTTTTCTTGTCTAAGGCAAGGCACAATGGCGGAGCCAGGGGGTGGCCAGTGGTGGCCAGATCAATCTTTGGCCATCCCCAAGGGTCACCTCAATCATTTCAGGAAAGTATACTTTTAAGCAATATAAAAACTAAAATAAAAATAACAAACTCAAATATAAATAAAACAATAATTATATATGTATATTTTATTTTTCTTTCTTCACTAGCTCTCGAACGAGGCGCACGCATTCTTTCCCGCTCCCTGTTTTCCTCCTGTTTTTTTGCTCTCTGTCTGTGTTTCGGAGCAACTCCTATATTTTACACATGTCCCGAAATGGAAACTACTGTTTTGGATCTGAACAACTGGACTTTTGACAAATATTACAAATTATTTTCAACAAAGTGACAGGGTCCTGGAGAACCCTCATCTGCTCGGGCGAGATGCATGCAGCTGGATAAATCTCTCGGGGGGGATGTGTCTACCTCTGCTATCAACCGAGGATGCTGAAATTGCCAATAAGTCAAGTCAAGTCAAGTCAGATTTATTTATAGAGCACATTTAAAACTGGATTTATAACAGGTTTCCTGTTTTTGGAATAGTCTGGATCCTGGTTTATCAACATACAAAGAAGACGGCTGAGCTAATTTGTACCTCAACAGGCAAAAAACTATGTGAAGGTTTGGTTCGTGCTGGAGGACTCAAAATCAGCTGATTTACGAGCAAAACTGTAAGTTGGAAGTGATTTGAATCAAATGCCACCTGCAGTTTTGGGACTCGTCAACATGAAAAACCATCTTGGAGAGGCTTGTAAGCACGGACCAGTAGAATACATCCTAATCTGGCCATTTAGGACCTTGGAAAGTATCAGTACAGACTCTAGGCTGACGGAAAATAGTCTGCCTGAATAAATCAACCATTGTGTTTGTTTGAATCTCTCCCCAGCTGGCCTCGGAACAGGCCAACTTATCAATTTCTCCTGGGACATGTGTAAACTAAAGAAAAGGTTCGTCTATCGCAACCCCCTAAACTTCCTCATAGGAACTTTTCTACGAGCATTATTTATGGATGAGAGAGTGAATTTACAAATCAGAGACTCCTGTAACTAACCTGGCTCGTGCCTCGGGGACACAGAGCTCACCTTCACACCATCACGTTATTTTCAGATGTGCTAATTGGGGAAAAGGGGCTTGGCGTGTGCGGATGTGAACAAGTTGTGAACGCTCTCATAGAGAAACAGAAGTAGTTAAAAGGTGATTTCAGATTCAACGAGTTTGAGCACAGTTTTATTGAAAACAGCAGCCGGATTACAATCCATAACCGTCAAGGATTGATTTTTACTGTAATATTAAATTCAATTATTTTGTGCAGTTTTTGCACGAAGCAGGTGTGATTAATAAACGCCCCTGAGATTTCCTCTCCGGTGTGATCCCGATCTGTGAGTGTGTCAAACCCTTTAACACGTTGTCATTTGGTTTTGTTTGAATCGACCACAACCTCATCATAATTTTATTATAAGCCTTAATCCTCAGCCACAGATATTTAGTCTCGGGCTGCTCTAAACCCTGAAACAGATTTTAGTTTTTATTGTCTGTCTCTCAGGTAGTTTTGGTTTTATTATTGATTCCATAATGTTTACTTTGATCAGCTTTAGCTTTTACACCAACAATACTCTGGACTTCAGTGTGTAAATGCAAACATGTGCCTTTGACTTTCAGAATTAAACTTTCATATAAAAACGTCCTGACAAGATGAAGTGAGAATGAACAATTCTAATATAAAAACTCAATACGTTCATTTTAGGACAACGTGGATCTTGGAGAGCTGATGTTCTCGTTGTGTTATCTCCCCACCGCTGGCAGACTCACCATCACCATAATCAAAGCAAGAAACCTCAAAGCCATGGACATCACCGGAGCCTCAGGTTGGTGCTGACGGATGGAGGATGTTACAGTTCAGAAACAACGTGGGAAGAACCCACAACTGCTCAAGTGTTTGATTATTAGTGATCTGAAAGAGTGTGAAAATGTGTTTTTCAGTTCTCTAGACCTTACATGTCTCAAATAAAAATGAATTTGCCAATATGGCTGAAGCAGAATGGCTTCACAGCAAACAAACTAAAAAACAACCTCCAGACACTTTAGCTTGCACAGTCAAGAACACCCAAGTTTTGTTTAATTCACAACTAGATTTTTAGCCAGATGCTTCAAGTTTTTGTCTTTTGTGATGCAGTTTGGTCACACTATGTGCAAGATTGTCTGGTCTAAGAAAAACGACTTGACAAGTTTGCCTCTTCCCTTTCTATCATTTAATACATTTAAACAGGGGTTCTCAAACTTGTGGGGTTCAGGGACCTTACAGGGACCCCCTCATAACCCTTGTGTTTATTAAATAATTTTCTTCAAGTTGTCTCTTTAATGCAATGGAAATATTTGTGTAACACAAATACTTAAGACCTGTTCTTTAATAGTGTTTATACAACTTTTATACTTTTAAACATGGGGTATTTTTTCATTCGATACACAATTAACAAAATCTTTCATTTCAACTTCCAAAAATTACAGTGTTGAGAAAATTAACAGCATCAAAAACCACTTTAAAACTTTACCTATTCACATAATGAACATCGCCACTCTTCTTCTATTGTCACATCAGATTATTACAGAAAACTCTTGACATAAAACTGAACAGAATCATAACAGCAGTAGTCGTACAAAGCAACAGGGCTTGATTTGTAAACTGATTGATGCTGGAAAGCAAATAGTGATGGGGTGGGGGTGGGGGGGATCTGGGGTCCTCCCCCAGAAAATTTGAATAAAGTAGATGCGATTTCCTGCATTTGAGTATTTTAACGGAATGATTAACATCTACATGCTTGTAATAAACAAACAATTTTTTTTTTTTTTTGTCGGAACCCCAGGCACCAGCTCGTGGACCTCCGAGGTTTGAGAACCACTGGTTTAAACAATATGAACCTGATGTTATCCGAGTTTGTCTTCTCACTTTCTTAGTTGAAAAGTTACTGATGGACATGTAGCGTTATCATATTTGAGCTCTACCATCTTAACGTTTAGTGAATGATGTCTTTCAGATCCATACGTGAAAGTGTCCCTTATGTGCGATGGGAGGAGGCTCAAGAAGAGAAAGACTTCGACCAAGCGGAACACGCTGAACCCGGTGTACAATGAGGCCATCGTGTTTGATGTTCCCCCTGAGAACATCGATCAAATCAGCCTGCTCATCGCAGTCATGGATTATGATCTGTTTGTACATCCAGACACCCCCCTATGTGGAGCTTTGACCGATAAACACTAAATCTCAAGGTTTTATTCTCTGCTGTCCCGCAGGGTCGGACACAACGAGGTGATAGGTGTCTGTCGGGTCGGCAGCGAGGCTGAAAGTCTGGGGCGAGACCACTGGAACGAGATGCTGACGTACCCCCGGAAACCCATCGCTCACTGGCACCCCCTCATAGAGGTGTGTTCCAAAGCAAATTACAAGATAATTTATTTTTTACAGGACAGCGCTTCACATAAAAGAGTGAAGACAGTTTATTTTATTTTAATACAGTGCCTCATTAATATGCTAATTAGAACTAAATAATAAATGTATCTACGCTAGCTAATATTGAATCATATTAAAATTATCCCACTCCCCCCAATAAATAAATAAATAAATAAATAAACAGTTTTGAAAATGGAAATAGATGAAAAGATGAGGAACTACAAACACATTTTTGCATTGATCCATAGTAAAGATAACTCCCTCATGGCAGTAAATCTAATAGAAAGACATGATTTGACAGTAAAGATGTTTTACCAGAAATAATTAAATCTGCATCAGAGAGGACCAAGTTAAAAATCACTAAAATATTTAGGATTGATCATTTTATAACTTTAAAATTTCACATCAATTTGCATGTTATTTTCCCTTCATTGATAAATTCAACTTCTAATAGATACTCCGTAACATTTTCTCCAAAAGACGCATGAGAAGATCACGGTCAAAATCTAACAAATGTATAGCGCCGGTATTTGGAAGTGGGTTTCATCTGTGTAGTTAATAGTAATCAGTGTGTTACCTGCAGCAGACAGCAGTCGTCTCAGTTGGAAAAATCAGAGAGAAATTCTCATTACTGAGTCACACAGAGTCTATTCATTAGGGGCCTCTTTAAGAACAAATTTAATCTATTTTAAATAACTCAAACTATTAAATAACTTTAGCAGAGCAGGTGAACGTTTCATTGTAAACTTTACCACTGTGTCGCTTTTGCATCATATGATTATTTACATAAACATTTATCACTATTTAATAAAGATTGGCCATGTCGAAACAAACTTTTTTTTTAATACAGCCACTGAAAAACAAACAGTGTTAAAAATAGTTTATGCAACAGCACAGTAAAATCTAATACATCTTGTTATTGACGTTCTTGTTGTTGTAAAAGTTATAAAATTATTTTTAAAGGTGCCTATTTTTAGCTAGTCATTAGCTTGGCTCCCCAATAAGAGTTTTTCCTTGTCTTTTTCCAAACAATGATTGTGTTGACGGTTATCTACTGCAGGTAAGATACTAGCGATTAATCACTACTCCATTAACATATATATTTAAAACATCTGAACTTCACTGAGCAGTTTTTTTAGCTTTAATGCGCTGGTGCATGTATTCCCACACAATACTGGAAGCTTTGAACTCCAGTATCTGCAGCTTTTTGAACTGAGAAAGATAGGATGGGAAGCAAAACGTCTTCAACTGGTGAACAGAAGTCCAGTTTTTATTTTTATTTTTTATTAACCATGTGCTGGGTGACTGAGAATCAACACCAGTCTACAATGTTGATAAAACAGGTACGTTCATTGTGACAGGTATAATACCACATTCATTTTCTCTGCTGAGTTTGATTTTAATTGTGACGAAACAGACTTCTGGACACGTGAATCTTTTGTTACATGCTTGATTTTTTAAAAGCTATTTCAAAAGTTAGCATACGTTTTTACAAACACGAGGAAAACATAGAACTATTACCTACTTATATTGCAAAAATGTTTTGTTTGACTTTAATCTAAATACCAAATCCACTAGTAGTCACTTTAATGGATCACTTCCATGCTAATGAGTCTCATATTCTATGTTGACATGTTCAGTGTTCCATTTTGAGGTACGATGTGGAAAAATAGAAAGAAAACAATTACGTAACCGGAGATACTGCATAACCCTCGTGCATATTTGACTTGTTTTGCTGTGATTGCCACCACTGAGGCGCTGCTTTCAGAGACAGAGAGGTGGCTACATTTACAGAGCCGTTTCTATTTCTGAATCCCCAGCCCACACTCATTAAAAAAACAGGGCATGCTAAAACAGATGCTGAACCAATTCATGTAAATTCATGTTGAGTTGTCAGAGCTTATTATAGTGGTATTCGTCTAAATGGGTGAAAAGCTGAAATACCACTAAATGGATAGCTGTCCAAGTTTCAGCCATGACACCCATTTGGATTTGTCAGAATATTTTTGCACCGTCTCGTCTTTGCAGAATTTAAAGTCTCCAGCTAGCGAATGTTTAAGGTTTCTTGACATGTTTAGCAGTTTTTACTCCTAGCTATGATGCTAACTTGTAAACTCTTCTCTTCATAAAGTATGATGTCTCCAGACTTAATTTTTTTCCCATCTGAGGTTTGGTGATGCTCACTAAAAAAGAACTCCTGGGATATTTTTCAGTCCCCAATGAAGATTCATGCACAAGCTTTTTTCCCCAAAAGATTAATGACATTACCATCTGAAATAAAGCCAAGTAATGCATAATGAGCATAATCTATTTAGATTATTCGCCCTCCAGATGGCCGACGTCTGGATCTTTGGGATGAACCAGTCTTTGCCGTAATGTATTTTGGGGTTTAAAAGCCACTGGGACGTTATGTTTAGAAAATAAACGTCTCAGTTTCTCTGATACCCCCTCAACATACAGAATGACCACTGGTCTGGGTCTGGGTCCAGTCCCCCGGCACAAACAGAGTAATGTTGTGTATGCTGTTCAGTGTCAGGAGGGCTGTGATCAGTCTTATTTCGGGGAAACTAAACAGCCACTGGCCAAAAGGATGGCCCAGCACAGAAGATCAACATCATCAGGCCAGGATTCTGCGGTTTACACTCATCTCCAGGCCAGCGGTCACTCTTTCAAGGATGAAGATGTTCACATCCTGGACAGAGAGGAACGATGGTTTGAGAGAGGAGTAAAGGAGGACATCTTTGTGAAAAGAAATCGTCCATCATTAAACAGGGGTGGAGGCCTCCGGGTTCAACTGTCCCCCTCTTACAATGCTGTGATTGCTAGTATCACTCAGCCCTCTGTGAACAGTAAACAGCCATCAGTGTGCTAATGATCCATTGTTAGGCTGATGGTCCTTCTTGAGCATGTGATCAGCTGGTTTTGGTTGTCAGCAGCAAACTGGTTGATCCACTCTGAGAAGGTGCTATTTAAGAGACTGAGCTGAAAACAGCACCTCAGACTGAGGAAGTCTCTTGGATGAGAGACGAAACGTTTCTAGATTTCTTTGTTTGTGCGTAAACAGTGGCCACAGTGGTGTCACATATTGGTTTTTGAAGTGGCACTTGTAAGAAACTTTACTTGCATTAGTCAGATTTGTGGGGGGGTTTTGTCACTAAAATGCTCCCATTATGACAAGATGAAACTGCAGGGAGAAATACAGGCTATAGAAAAATATGTTCTGCTGTGAAGGTCAGTTCTCCGTCTCACACCTCTACGATCTGCTTTGCATGAATCATTTCATTTCAGATTTACACAGACAGATCATCTGAAACGTAAAACTAATACCAGTGTTACTGTTCCCCAGATTATACAACAATTATACTGGAATGTCCGAGTCAGTCAGTCAGTAGACTGTCTTTATACTTATATTTTATAAACTCCTTGGTAGAGACACATGCTAACAAATACTGTGCGTCCATCAAATGATGTTCTTTTCTGACGCCATTACCAGCAGCTTTGAGCTGCAGCTGCAAACTCTGAGATCACAGCTAATGGCTTATTTGTATAGTTTTTAAAAGATCTCCACAGAAGCCCCGAGGGAGCTTGGATGGCTGGGCTTTTCACACATGAACACACACGCTCAGACACCGAGAGACATGGATCCACGGGAACGCACATGCGTCAGAGTTTGACACGAAGAATCGACATTTATTAACAAATGAATCCAAAAACATGCACATTCAGCATGCACACTCACAGGTCACTGACCTCAGTGCTTCTCACAATGACCATTAATAATTCAACCACTTGATCTTTAAAAGCGTGGCTGTGAATAAACACACGAACACAGCAAAAACATGAAACAAACAACAACAAAATGCTCCCGGATCCCCCTGGGTAAATCACAGCCAGTGCTCATGCTATTGGGTGGAAAGGAAAGGATGCACAGAGAGATGAAAGCTTAGTGTCCTCCACTTTGTCACATGAATGAGTGGCTGAATAACAAACAGGCCCAGCGCAGGGACCGCTCATTCAAAGAGGGCTTGGTGTGTCACAGTCACCTCTGAGCTTAAGTCTCTGGCCTTTGGGTCCCACAGGGCTGACTCCGGTTCAACTGCTTCAGATCTGTCAACCTGCTCCTCGACAGGTGAAATCTAGATCAAACGACTCTACAAAAATTACTCTTCTAAGCTAGTTTTTTTATTTAGACTCTTTTTTTTTATGCATCAATTGAATCTATAACTTTTAAGCCTTTGCTGCACGATTGAGCCGGCTCCAAACTGACCCCAAAAAGTGGTTAAAATATTTTTATGTGGAGTAAGTGGTCATATAATTCTTTAATAAAATGTAAACAAAAATACTTCCTGTTGTTGCGACTGAGCTTGTGGTTAGAAAAAGAACTGAACAAGCACATCGTGTATGTGACGTTATAGTTAATGAAAAAGAAATTTCAAATTTCATCGCTAGCGTTGTCTGATTTTTATTTGTCCAAATTTGTAAACTTTCTATCGTCCCAACCAAAACTTCTATTTTATTTTAATATGATCTACAGTAGTGACTAAGCCAGATTTGTGCACAAGCTGTAGCAAAGAGGAATTAATCTTTTTCATTACATTTTAAAATATAATAGAGTAGAAATATTTACGGCAGAGTTTACACTAAATACAGATTTTTTTAATGCAGCTAAAGTAATTCAAATACATTTTTCATTTATATCTTGATGAGATCAGAGTTCTGGATTGGCTTTGGGTTTTTGTTTACTGCTGGGAAAATAGATATTTTCCCTTCTATGGCTAAATTAATTACCTGGTGCAAGGACATATCTCTTGATACTTTTATTGTAAAATATTCAATTTTTAAGAAGGAAAAAAAGAGTCATCTTTTTAAAAAAAATATTGGTTTCTTTTATTTGAAAAATGAAGAATGTTCATCTAAGCAATGTAATAAGTGCGGACGATTTATTACCTGCTCTGTGTAATTTAAGGTGTTCCCTGAACAGCAGGAGGATAAAGAAAGAAATGACAACGTAAGAACATCTTTGAAGAGGTTATTTTAATAGTTATTGAACCTAATCAGTATCAGCAGCAAGTCAAAATGTAAAAATTCCTCCTAAATTACCAAATCTAAACTACTATTAAACTTTTCAGACAAATCAAAGGAAACGTTCTTTCAGCTTTCAGCATGAGCTCAAAGTTTGCTTATCTGTTGATTTTGTAGGTTCTCACATTTGAAAACGTTAAATGATTATTCAGTGTCAGTTTGTAACCGACTTCTTTTGTTGTGCACCAGTGGGTTGGACAGGGAGCGACAGTGACCGGAAGCCAAGGAGGATCCACCAACTCCCTGAAGGCACCTTCATCACCATGACAGTCACACACAGACGAGCAGCCTCCGGGTGGTGAAACGTTGGACGATGCCACTAACCACTCTAACAGTAGCTATAGGTCCTTACTAAAACTGACTTGTCATTAGATTAAAGTAAGTTTTAGAGACGCTTGAGAAGACTAACCCCCACCCTTCTATGTCCCTTTGTGTCTTCACAACTAAAATCTAAGTAACATTCCAACTGAACCACCACTATGGTCTTATTTGTCATATCATTCCGTTACTAAGAAGGTGAAATTATCTTACAAGTTGAGTGCTTGTTTTATTGTTTTGTCTTTATTATTATTATTATTTGCCTTTGCTAATTGCTCTTTGTGGACCAAAATGACTTCTTCTTAGGTAAAAGTGTAACGCTTCAACTGTTAATTTGAGTGACTGGTTTGTTTCCAACGGCCGAGTATTTAAAATGAAAAAAAAAAAACTGTAACAGAAAGAGTCGGGTAACACAGAAGTAAAAAAAAAAAAAAGTGCACCGTTGTTTAGATTAATTAAATTTAAGCCTTTTGTACAATTGTTAAACTGCTGTGTGTGTAGAGTGATCAAATTTTAACATGCACATTATGTTGTAATGGCAGACAGAGAAGTAAACTACCTTATGGGAGTAATACATTATACAACCCAATACATGTCTGCTACGTAACAGTCATGTACTGGGTACTCACATGGTACATACATGGCATGTACTAGGTACTTATAAAAGGTACAGACTGTGTACTTACTAGGTATGTAAGTGGTTCTTACCTGATATGTACTGGGTTCTTACCGGGTAAGTATGCATTACATACCTTGTACGTACAGGCTACATACCAGGTATTTACAGAGTACGTACCTGATACTTACAGGGTATGTACTGGATACATACTGTAAACGTATCTGGTATGTAGTGGGTATATACTTGGTACTCATGTGGTACATAATGTATCTAGTGTGCACAGAACACATAGTTGGGACTTACAAGGTATTGCATTTGTAACAGGTGCTTAGCAAGTACATGCCAGATATTTTCCAGGTATTTACAAGGTATATTCTGGGTACATGCAAGGTATGTTAAGGGATATACCTGGAACTTACATGGTATGTACCGATCCATACTTTGTACAAACCTAGTATGTGCTTGATAGGTGCAGGTTAACTAGTCACATCAAAATACTGCCCAGTCTTTGTAGATAAGTATTTACCAGGTACGAAGTAGGTACTTACCTATTACCTACCGGGAACAAACCTAATACTTATAAATTGTATCCTCTGCAAGTACTAGGTACCTACTCAGTAAGTACCAGGTGAGAAGCATGTAAATACAATGTACAAACCTAGTAAGTACCAGGGAAGTACTGGGCTGTATTATGGGTTGCTGTCCTTTGGTTTTACCTCAAAGGAAAACTTTCTGCACATTTTCTGTGTTGATTTGCCACAAGAATGTGTGAAACATGACAAAAATCATCTTTCATTTAGTGCATGTTAAATTGTCATACTTTGTTAACAGCGTTTGGTCAAAATAAAGTAAATGTAAACCTGAAAGTTGGTTCCTCTAGCAGAATGGCAATCAGCTATTGTCTTTGACGAATTGACACAGGTTCTCTGTGATCTCTCATCTTTTGGTTCATTGCATCCTGAGTATTCATTCTGCAATGTCAAATATTTGTTTAGTGATGGTTTTACAGAAATTACAGAAACTGAACCAGGAAAAAAGAAATACATAGAGCACGTCTTAATTCAGAAATATTCACCCACAGTAGGAGCATATCACAACACATTACCACAAACTCAGGAAAACAAATTAACCTACAGCCAAAAGGTCAATATGTACCCACAATGCATTGCAACTACAGTAACATACTGTAAAAACAAAATGTACTTGCACTTGGTGAACTGACAGTATTTAGCTTTAAATTTAGCAGAAGATATTGTATAGTCTCAATTTAAGAAATATTAGAAGTGTCACAAAATGTGTGAACAAAATCCAGTTAATAGTTGGCAAAACTTTCCCAGCATATTTGAATTTGTACTTAAAGCTACATTTAAAATTTTTGACCACTTGGACAAAGGAGAACAAGCTGTAAACAAAACCATTATGTACTATCATAAATCTTTGCCATTTAGTGATGTTTCCATAAAAAACAACATTATCAGTCGTGGTTCCTCTAACGATTCAACTACAGCTGCGACTGAAACATCTGGCGCATTATCTGATTAAATGTCTTTTTTTTACGTGCCATTTGATGCTGGGTTTGCTTGATCAGAAAATGGTTGCAGAAGCTGATGAGAGCAGTAAAATAAACAGAAAAGGTGCAGACTTTAAGCAGTTGTTGAAATATTCTGCAGAGCTAAGGGGGACTACAGAGAAACACCTTTTATAACACAGCTGAAAACTGATTTAATCTAAAACAATCAATTAAAAATCATTAATTGATCTCTAGTTTTACACTTACTGAAAAAGTTCCTTTAGTGTTGTAGAAAAAGACTAAATTGACATGCAATAGTATTTTGCATGCAAAGTTAGTAATTATTTCAAATGAGCTCACTTGCAGAACAAGGAAATGATGGCTCGTGCACGCATGCAGCACTGTCAACACATTTCCAAAAGCCAGATTAACAAAAAACAAACTTCTATGAAAGACTATAGTATTATTTTTTTTTTTTATGAAAACATCAACACTCAGATGTAGTTGTGTGGGAAATCCAATGTGCCTTTGTCAAGTAAAGACCCACGAGGACAAGAAATCCACACATAAGAAGCTGATCACACTGAATCTTGTCAAAATTCATTTATTTTTCAATGAACTGAGTGAACTTTGTTAAAACACTTGGAGTTCTTCGGCTGTTCTTGAATTGGGACCACTCTGGTTTGTTTTAATGAGTCAGCGTTTGTTTTTAGATTGATATCAGTATCATGTCTTTGTATTGTCAAAAATGATATTTTTTCCTGTTTACAGGAACGATGCATGCATCATTTTTCTGTTTTTTTTTTTTAATGTTTTTTGCTGTGAGATACTAATCATGCTGTAAACACAAGATGTATTATGAACGACTGTGTAAAATGCCCTTTCAGATGTTATTAATAAATATTTGTTTACATAACACTGACTGCATCAGGGTGAGATTGATTGATGCAAAATCATTTATCACAACTTTGGCTTTTTTCTCTTCTCTTACTTTGACTGAAACCTGTCTGAAGAGTTTGTGACACGCATATAGAAATTAAAACAAAGACCTCACAGCAGCTGGAGGGCGAAATGTTAACATCTGTAAGCAGATGTGACTCTCAGAGTCACCTAGCTGTAAAGCTGTAAACTGCTTTTGAAGTTAAAATGTATCCAAGGGGTGAACATTTGTCAACTTGCATATTTCTCTCTGAGCATCTTCTGTCCTCTCAGCATGGGATTTGAAGAAGTTCCTCTTTTTCTTCAAAGGAAACAATGTCCACCACAACAACATCTTACAAAACTGGCAAGGCGTATGTGCAAAACATTTTATAAGCAATTTCTGTAAAATTACTAGCTATATTTTGTATGTCTCTTAGAAACATTTTAAATCATTTTCTAAAGTTATGTAACTTTTTTATCACCGCAGCGTTTCAGTGTTTAACAAATGTCCTTCACTGTGGCCATTTGAAGTTACTACTTCCTGCTTGCTTTGCATTTCTTGAATCTGGAAGGAATGCTGTCAGAGACTGAATGATACTGAAAATCATTAAAGGGAACTCAACTAAAGTGTTCCCTCAAAAAAAAAAAAAAAAACATCACTATCCATACAATTAGGATCCTATTACTGACACAAATGTCCCAAACCCTGATTAATAGGCATTCTGTTGTTCACTGCAGTGGAAAAATCTTTTAAATTATTTATTTATATTTATTT